TTCGGGAAAACGCTTGAACAAGCATAATTTATTTGGTTTTTTACATATTTTAAAATTTTTTTAAAAAATCATACAGGGTGTTCCAAAAAGTTGGGTACTCTTTCTAACCACGACCCTGCTTAAACTGCTTGACGTAAAAAGCTTATTTTTTGGCAAACGGATTTTTTGAAAGTCAAAATTCCAACGAGATGAAACTACCCCTCAAATATTACAAAGTTATATAATAATATCGCTATATTGTTTTTTCTCATGCTGACATAAATGTGAGAAAATTTTATCCAGTTTGTATGTTAATGGAAATTCTTGCTTTGCTTTATCATCACCATTACAAATGATTAATTTGACGCGAACGAAGTCGCTGGTACACGCTAGTACTGTAAATACTAAAATTAGTAAAGATAAGTTTTATAGGTTTGTATTAATTTTCAGGTATGTAGTAGTTCTTATGGGCCCAGTATCTTTGAGCCTAGTAAAACAACTCGAGCAACATGTTGCTCAAATATTGCCGACGTGAAACACAAGACCAAATTGCCAGTTTGTAGAAAGATGTCTAGCAGCAGCGTGGAAAAAATCCTAGCCATTGAAAATGAAGACATACTCATGTACAGGGTGTTCCATTTTGGTTGAAATCATATGGTATCTCCGTTATTAGTAAAGATATGAGGATGCGCTTTGCACCAACCTATCCCACTTTTTGTCAAATGGAAGATTCCCTTTCCAGGTTACGGATGTAGTCTTCCAGCTTCTTGAGCTCTCCTTGAAGTTGGTTTCCACTTAGGAAGCAAGGACTAATTGTACGAGAGCTAGTAACATCGAACAAGTATTTTAAGCATGCCTGGCTTTTTGATATATCTTACTATGTTTTCTAGAACAGCTGGGCTGCGGCCCGTCTTAGCTGCCGGTAAACGTTGCGTTCTCTACTGCGCATTAAAAGAAGATCCTATATTTTCATTAGTCATTTAAATTCTAGTATTAAATATTAATCGAACATAATCTACATAGAGTTCAAATCCGGTTCAGGGCAATATTTTTTATTTTATTTCAGTTTATATTCTGATAGTAAAGTATTAAATATTTGTTTTTTTTAATTATCAGAATTATTTAATACTTTACTATCAGAATATAAACGAAAATAAAATAAAAAACTCTTTGACCTGGACCCAGATTTGAACTCTGAATCATCGGTTCGTGGTCTTGGAAACTCTACGCACTGCACTATGGAGTCATGTTTGATTTATATTCAATACTAGAATTTATAGGACTAAATTAATAAAAAATATAGTGATCTTCTCTCCGATGCGCAGTAGTGAACGTGCAACGTTTACCGGCAGCCAGACGGGCCGCATGCTGTTCTAGAGAGCATAGTAAAAGATATATCAAAGAGCCAGACGTCTTAAAATACTTCTCTCGGAAAACATTGCTTAGAGTCTAAGCTCGGGATTTAAAAAACACAATTCTAAATGTCGACGTATCTTTTTTATTTATTCAAATAACACTTCTAACAGAGGTATCCAAAATAAAAATTATTTTATACACGTTCATAATCAGTTCCTTTTAGATTTTAGTTTGTATGCCTCTTTTATTTTATTTTTCTTTTCTTTGCTTTGTCCATTGAATTTAAAATTTCGTTCAAAAAATCGAACGAAGGACCCATAAACTTAATTTTAACATTTTAATTTTTTTTCTACAGGCATCTTTACGGCTTTTTACCACTACTCTATTCTACGTATTATTTATTTATTTTTCTTATTTTATTGCCAACAAGTTTTTTAATTCAACGGGTAAAAGTTTTTAAAAGAGACATTTTTTACAATAAAATCATTTAGTATTATAATTTAAAAAGTTATTTTAGTTTCTAGTTTAATGCCGGGTCCAGACCAAGCAGACAAAACAACGACAAAACAGAAACATTCATGTTTTACGACAAAATTGCGACAAATCCAATACATTCTGCGACATTTTTGTCTCATTTTTGTTTTGTTTGAAAATTCGGAGACTTTTCAATGTTCCGTCTCGAGTAGGTAAAGATCAAATAAGTGTCTATTGTTTTGTTCGTATATTTTACAAGTTGTCGACGCAATGTGGATAGCCTGTGCTAGCAACAGTAGTAGACCAGTGAAATCACACATGGTTGATAAAACTCATCTCGCAACAACTAAACTTTTGACTTTGTTGTATTTTTTGTCCTTTGCGGTGTGGACAATTGGTCTCAAGTTTGTCTTGCCAGAATTCCCCATTTTTGTCGCAAGTTTGTCTTGTAGTTTTTGTCTCATGTATATGTACTACCTTTGATTGAAGAAATAAGTTTTCCCAATTCTTTCAATCAACGGTACCACCAAACATCATTTTACTGCCAAGCGACTGCCAATAGTGTCAATGACTGCGAAGAAAACTGCCTATGTTCGCCATATAATAATGCCAACGAGTTAAGCCCCATACTCACACTTCGCTCCTTCGTCCCTTCCTCCCGTTACTTCCCTTCCTCACTTCACTTCGTTCCTTCGTCCCTTCGCTTTCTTCCTTCGTCCATTCGATGCTTGGAAATTAGTCGATTATGCAACAACATACCACAAAATATTTGTGTGTCAAAAATAAAAATTGAATTTTAATAATTTTCAAATTTTTTTAATAAATCCGAATATTTCAGTATCATGTACAAGGTATATCAGTATGAATGTACAAGGCGAGTCAACAATAGAGTAAAGTTTATTATGTCATTTATATCGAAACTATGAAACGTGACATACTAATTAAACGTTGATGTCAATCCCCATTTCTTCAGATATTTTTGTAAAGGCATCATGCACACTATTTCTATTTTTTTATTTTTGTCGCTACGATTACATAAATATGGACATGTATTTCTTCACAAATATGAAAAGAATATTGTCTTTTCCTTCCATTTTTAAGACTATTGTGTGTGATATCTATTTTTATATCGACTGGCGATTGCTAGATGTACAGGGTGTCCCATTTTTGTGTGTTTTATGGGGTTTCTGATTTATGAGTAGAGATATAAATATGCTGTTTTCACATCATTGTTCTACTTATGAATGAATGAAAGTAAATATGCTACACAGATTTATCCTAGCCGTCTTAGTTCAAATTTATTTCTTATTTCTTTCTTTTATACTTTTTATTTTTTAATTAGTAAAAATTTTTGCATTGGTCGATAACCTTTGTATCTCGATAATCTTATAACTTATCGAAAAAGTGAAAAGGGTCAGTGATTGGCGGTGGGTAAGTACCCAATTTGTAGATAAATAAAATCTGTGCATATGTATATACCTGTACATTTAGATGAACATCCTAATTTTATAAAAGGAGTGACGATCGCGGTTGGTAAATACCCGTATATCACTGGGAACAGGAATATACCACTATATTAGGTTAGTTAGGTTCCTGATATTACTGGTATATTTCTGGTATTATACCGGATATTTACTATGCGGTCGTTGGAAATACCTTTTATAAAATTAGACTATTCATCTAAATGTACAGGTATATACCGGATACCCTGATTTTGTTTTTTTTCTGCCTATTGAGTACTTACCCACCGCCCGTGTCTCGTTTTTCAGGTAGAATGCAGTGACGAAACTAGTTCTTCGTTAGGAGCTGTCTATTTCGAAAAATGACTCAAATTCATGTTCTTTATTTTATTTGCCTTGTTATGAGCTTTCTAAAGTTATAATACCTATACTCTATACTTATTTATTTAGGTACTGCTAAACTGCTAAACGGCTATTATTTTATTTAACTTAATTTTATCAGATAAATTTTATCAGATTATTTAATCGTGATATTATGATAAACTACACGGAAACTGAACTTGTTCTGCATTTAAATAACATGCCAATAACCAACATTTTACGTCGAATAAATTAGTTGATTGTTTTGAGTAAACCGGCCGACTATGTAATAAAGTTAAATAATGCATTTTTACCCCGTTTATGAAAATAAGTATTTTAGAAAGCCCGTAACAAGGAAAATAAAATAATATACAAAACGTCGCTTTTTTTTAAATAAAAGTCATTTTAAAAAAGACAGATTCCAACGAAGAACTCGTTACGTCACTGCATTCTACGTGAAAAACTGTACAGAACACCGTTTTTACCTTTTCGATAAGTTATGATACAAAGGGGATCGAAAAACGCAATAATTTCAGATTCGCCCTGTATTTTAAGAAGTAAGAGAGCTAGGACATATCTATATGTAGCATCTTTAGTTTCATAAAAAAGTAACATCGTAATGTGAAAACCGCATTTTTGTATCTCGACTTATAAACGAGAAACCCTGCATAACACACTGTTGTGAACATACATTTAATATGGTTATATGTATATGTATATTCGACAAATTGTATAAAATATTATTTTTACCCTTATTCTACGGCTATGCCTAAAGAATTTAAGGTACGAAAAATACCATCAACATTATTATTCTTCTCAGAAAGATGGGTGATGCAAATAAACAGAACCATTACCTTAAGATGAAATTTGGAAGAAATAGTCATAAATAGTTGCATCATTTTTAGTTTTCCTTTGTAATTCGTTTACTTTCAGACGCGATGTCTGGTTTCTATTTACTTAAGAAATGGTCATGTTTGTCCCTTTGCAAACCTACCTGAAAATATTATTAAGAAATAGTAGGTACGCCCGTGGATTTTCGGAGAGGGCATTCTCATAAAAGCACGGTCACAGAAGGGACCGGGGACATTCATAAAAATTTTTCATAGACGTAATACTGCTAAATTATATTTTTGTATTAAAAGTTTAAAAAATAAAAGTAATAACAACTTAGTAAGAATTTAATTATAAAAAATAAAGCATTCAACATTCCCAACAAGTGGTGATACGAGTCAAATAGAGAACTACAACATTTGTGGCAGCGACTACAAGATTGGTGACGACGGTGGTCCAATCCAGGATCACGACATTGGTGGCAGCGGTAAAAAACTACCAAGGTTTCTGAAGGTGCGCCAGACGCAGCAGAAAACCTACCAGTTTTTGGAAGAAGATAGAGGCAACGGGCAGTTCTTGAAGGTGCACCAGCAGCAAGAAGCCCGACACGAGACGTAGACATTGGGGGACACTGAAGGAGCGCCAGACGCAGCAGCAAGTCTCCAGGGAAGCTTTTTGTTTTCACCAGATGATGACGGGGTAAGTCTTTCATTTGTTTACTGTATTGTGACGCTACTGTTTTTCTTCTGATTTTAGTTAGTTAGATTTAAGTTAAGACAATAATAATTCTGGCTGCAATAACAAAAAAAAAAAAATATTGCTTAAAATTCGTAAATATTTTTTTCTCTCTTCAAACTAAAAATACATCTATAAAAATAAATAATAATTCTTAAACTAAAGTAATAAATCATTAATAAAATATAATAATGGCAGGAGGTAAAGACGCAACTGATGTTCTGAATTTAATAAATTCATTTGATGGTCAGGGTGACGCAAATTCACTCCAATTTTTCTTAAAAAATTGTGATTCAATATTAAAAATTGTCAAAGTGGATCAAAAAGAATTACTAGTAGATTTAATTTTTGGTACTAAATTAAAAGGGAAGGCACAAGAGGTAACACAATATAAACAGTTTCAAAATTGGGAAGAACTAAAAGATTTCTTATTAGAGCACTTTACTGATAAAACACCACCATCGCATTTTCTAACACAAATAATGAATATAAAGCAACATTTTAAGGAAACTGTAAAAGAATATGGCGATAGATTACAAATTCTCTTTAATAAATATAAAGAAACGTGTCACTTAAATTATGCAAATAACGAAGCTACTGTTTTAATAGAAAATTTAAACTCCATTTTAGTCAATACTTTTAGAAAAGGACTCAACGATGAAAAAATTCAAATGCGTATTATTGCCGAAAATACTACATATTTAGATAAAGCTTTATCATTAGCAATTGAAATGGAACTTGAGAATAATGACAGGTTTAAAAACTCGCATTTTAAAAATATAGGTTTTGTAGAGCGTGGAAATAGACAATTAAATAATCATTCTTCTAATAATTCCTGTTTATTTTGTTTTAAAAATAATCATTTAACATCACAGTGTAGACAGCTTAGGCAATACGAACAAAATAGTAACTCATATAATAGAAATGTACCTAGCAATAATCAGACACGCCCACCGCAAAATTTTAATAGCAATAATAATTTTTCAAATAGACAAGACGTAAATACAGTACAATATAATCAAGGACGTTTCACTAATCGAAACTACAACAATCAAAATTTTAATCAGAACAACGACGTGCGTAATTATAATCGTAATTATGGTAACAATTATAACAGTAATAATCCTCGTTCAAATTACAATAATAGATATTCTCAGAATCCAAGAAATTTTAATAACTCACAAGTTCCTCAACGGCAGCAAAATGTTTCGATACCTCAACAATCTCAAAATTTTTCTAATTACAATAATGAATCCAGTACTACCAATTTTAATAGTTCAAATAATAGATCACCACAACAAATTCAAACTATAAATTCTCAGTCGTTAATCAATTCAGCAGATAATTATTTTTCAGAACCGAGCACATCTCAAAATTTTTCGGGAAACGAGAGCGAAGCCTTGGTCGCGAGCAGCCGATTAAGCGCTTCTTAAAATTAGATAATAGCTGTTCTATGAATTACACACTACCTGAGCATAAAAATAAAATTAAAATTGAGCAAAACTTAATTGACATACCGCATAAATCAGTATTATTTTCCGATAGTTACCAACAATTAGAGATAATTAAAATCCCTTCTTTAGATATAAAAGATAAAGAATTACATCTTTTATTAGATACAGGGGCAGATATATCTTTATTGAAAGAATGTATCTTATTACAAAATAATCTAAAATTAAATAAAACTTGCATTATAGAATTAAAAGGTATAAGTAAAGAACCTGTATTTACTAAAGGTGTTTGTAACATCCCAATTAAATTAAACAATAACAAAGCAATAACTCATCCTTTTCACATTGTGCCAGATAGTATACCGATTAAAAGTGATGGACTATTAGGACGCGATTTTTTGCAAAAGTATAAAGCCAAAATAAATTACGAAGACGGAGTCATTAATTTTGAAGACAATTTTTTTAAAATTTTGCCGTCAGAAGCAACTACAATAATTCCCGCGAGATGTCAAATTATTGTACCTGCTCTAGCTAATTTATCTTCGTCCGAAGGCATAGTAGTTTCAAAACAATTATCCGAACATTTATATCTAGGGTCAAGCCTAACAAAAGTCCAGAACTATAAATGTTTAGTTAGCATATTAAATATTTCTAATGAAGCTCAAACTATCCATACACCTAGAGTGAATGTCGAACCTATTTCTTTTAATGAGTACGAATTTATAGAAACATATAATTATGACATTATCGATCGTTTTGCTAAAATAAGAAAAGAAATTAATCTAGACCAATTAAATGAAGAAGAAACTAATTCAGTATTAGATATTTGTAGAGATTTTAACGATATTTTTTACTTAGAAGGCGATAAACTAACAAGCACCAACACAATAAAACACACTATACCGACAGAAAGTAATAAAGGTCCTATTAACGTAAAACCTTATAGATTGCCTTTCAAACATAAAGAAATAATTAATGAACAAACTGAGCAAATGTTAAAAGACGGGGTAATTTCCGCTTCGGACAGTCCTTGGAATAGTCCTTTACTAGTTGTTCCTAAGAAAAGCGACCCATTATCACCTAAATTTAGAGTATGCGTTGATTTTCGAAAGTTAAATGAAATTACCATTGGAAACGCATATCCTCTACCTAATATAGCAGAAATTTTAGACCAGTTAGGAAAATCTCATTATTTTACTACCTTAGATCTTACTAGTGGATTTCATCAGGTAGAAATGGACGAAAAAGATAAAAATAAAACCGCTTTTAGCACTAATACAGGACATTACGTTTATAACAGAATGCCTTTCGGTTTAAAAGGAGCTCCCGCCACATTTCAAAGACTCATGAACACAGTTTTAAGCGGTCTTAATGGTATGAAATGCTTTATTTATTTAGATGATATAGTAATTTATGCAAACAACTTAAATGAACATAACGATAGATTAATTGAAGTTTTTCAAAGATTTAGACAACATAATTTAAAACTTCAACCTTCGAAGTGTCAGTTTTTACGAAAAGAATGTTTATACTTAGGTCACATTATTACAGAAAACGGCATTAAACCAGATCCATCAAAAATTCAATGTGTAACAAACTTTCCGCAACCTAAAAATCCTAAAGATATAAAATCTTTTTTAGGGCTTGTAGGATATTATAGGAAATTTATCAAAAATTTCGCTAAAATTGCTAAACCTTTAACCGAATTATTAAAAAAAGATTCTGTTTTTAATTGGGGTATAAAATGCGAAAATTCTTTCCAAATTCTTAAAGATAGTATAACTTTTCCACCTGTTCTCCAATACCCAGATTTTACCAAAGAATTTATTATAACAACAGATGCGAGTAATTTCGCAGTAGGAGCAATTTTATCGCAGGGTAAGGTTAATCATGATCGTCCAATAGCGTTTGCTAGTAGAACTCTAAATAAAGCAGAACAAAATTATTCAACTTCAGAAAAAGAGCTAACTGCAATCGTCTGGGCAGTAAAACATTTCCGTCCATATATTTTTGGCACAAGATTTAAAATTGTTACAGATCACAAACCCCTACTCTATATATTTAATATCAAAGACCCTGGTTCTCGTTTGACGCGTTTTAGAATAAAACTTGAAGAATATGACTATGAAATAATTTATAAAGCTGGAAAGATTAATACAAATGCTGATGCATTGAGTAGAATAGTTAGCACAACAAATGTCAATTCTATTATTACCAATTATGATAATTTTAAAACACATCTCGAAAGCCATATAATTATTAATTCCAAAGTCAAAGAAAAAAACACAAATCTGTTTGAAACACCACAACTTATACCTATAGTTTTATTTTTGCCAAAATTATTCAACAAAAACGACTTTAAAATTCTAGAAAAAAATAAACAAATTAATACATTTTTAGAACATTACGATAACACAAATCCTTTAGACATGCCGTCAGTTTTTCAGTATCAACAAAATAATTGTAATATATTTCTATTAACAGACAACGAAAATACATTCAGTGATATTAATTATGAAAATATTTGGTCTTGCTTACTAACTTTACGAAATATTATATCCAACGAAAAAACCGAACTATCATTTATAAAATATCATTACAACTCATTAGTCAAATGGGAAATCGTTCTTCCTATGATAAGATATATTTTTAAAGACCTCTATTCAGAAATTACAATATTTAACAACAGTCTTATCAACCCCTCAGATGCTGAAAAAGTTGTATTATTAAATGAAAATCACAATTGTCCATTAGGAGGTCATCAAGGGTCATCCCGCACATATAAAAAATTATCTCAATTATATACATGGAAAGGTATGAAAAAAGACATAAAAGAGTTTATAAAAAAATGTGAACTTTGTCAAAAAAATAAACAGTCTCGAAAAACAAAAATGCCTATGGTAATTACGACCACGGCATCAAAACCGTTCGAAAAATGTTTTTTAGATATAGTTGGACCACTACCAGAAACCGAAAATGGTCACAAATACATATTAACCTTTCAGGATGATTTAACAAAATATATAATTAATATACCTATGAGAAATCAAGAAGCTGTAACTGTAGCGCATCATTTTGTAACGAATATTATATGCATTTACGGAATACCTGACATGCTAGTCACAGATCAGGGGTCAAATTTTTTAAGTGATATTTTTAAAAGTACTTGCAAGTTTTTAAAGATAAAAAAGATCCAAACAACAAGTTATCACCCAGAGTCAAACGGAGCACTAGAACGCTCTCATAAAGTTCTAGAAGAATATTTAAGACACTTCATTAAGACATCTCAAACAGACTGGGATAATTGGATTCCCTATGCAACATTTACATATAATACTACACCTCACACTGCTACACAATTTTCTCCATTTGAACTTTTATTCGGACATATTCCTACATTACCAACATCAGTTAAACAACCACCTAAAGTCAATTATACTTATGATGATTTCATAAACAATCTTAAACAAAAAATGCAACATTCTAATCAATTAGCTAAAGAAAACTTATTAAAATGTAAAAACAT